GGTCGGGGCCCCCCTGCTGGCGAGGGTTTAGGGTTTGAGGGTTTAGGGTTTGAGGGCTTAGAGGAGGAGGGTTTAGCAAGGGCTGCTTGGGAAGCCCTGGGAACCACCGCCATGTCTGCTTCGGCTTTTGAGAAGGTAAACCCTAAACCCTAAACCCTAAACCCTGACACTTGGAGTTCAGCTGCTGCGGACTTGCTGAGGTGCGGCAGCTGCTGCTGCTGGTCGCGCTGCTGTACCTCAAGGAAAGGCTGCTGCTGCTGCTGCTGCTTCTGATGATCTTGCTGCGGATTTCGCTGCTTCTGCTGATTGTGCTGCTGCTACTGCTGCTGCTGCAGTCGATTCTGGAGGAAGTAGAGAAGAGCCTTAGCAGCAAAAGTGCAACGGAGAAGCTGCCTCAGCAGCAGCAGCAGCAGCAGCAGCAGCAGCAGCAGCAGCAGCAGCCAGGCCAAATCGAGGCCGGCGCCGACGCAGCAGCAGCAGCCGCAGCAACGGCAGCAACCACAGCAACAGCAGCAACTGCAGCAGCGGCTCCCTCTGCGTCTTCATCAAGAGCTCAGCCGCCAGAAACTGCAGCAGCAGCAACAGCAGCAGCAGCAGCAGCAGCAGAGCTACCTGAGCTTGACCTGCTGAGTTCGGAGGAGACGAGCGGCAGCGACAGCTCTTGGGAGGCCCCAGAAGGAAAGCGGAAGCCAGCAGCAGCAGCAGCAGCAGCAGGAGGAGCAGCAGCAGCAGCAGGAGCAGAAGCAGAAGAAGCAGCAGACGCAGAAGCAGCAGACACGGATCCCAAGTCCGAAGAAGACGAGGAAGACAGCAGCGCGGAAGAGTCGGACTTCGCTGTTGCTGCTGCTGCTGCTTCGCAGCAGCAGCAGCAGCAGCAGCAGGTTGACTACAGCGAACTGGACGATAGCTGCTCGCAGCAGTACTCGCGTCGCCTGCAGCAGCAGCAGCAGCAGCTTCAGCAGCAGCAGGAGGAGGAGCCCGTGCTGCTGTGCGGCTGCTTCAAAGTTCCTGCTGCAGTCTACCGCCAGCTGCTGCCGCACCAGCAGCAGGGCCTCGAGTGGCTGCTGCTGCTGCTGCAGCAGCAAACTGGAGGCCTTTTGGGGGATGATATGGGCCTCGGCAAGACAATTCAAATTGCTGCTTTTGTTGCAGCGCTGCACAACTCCGGCTTCCTCAGTGTGCGGCTCTTTTGCTGCTGCTGCTGCTGCTGCTGATGCTACTGCTGCTGCTGCTTCTGCTGCTGCTGTTTATTTTTTTATTTATTTGCTGCTTTTTTTGCTGCTGCTTTATGCCCCTTGTAGGCACGCTGGCCCTTCCAAGACCGCCGCAGGCAGCTCCTTAGCAGCAGCAGCAGCAGCAGCAGCGGCAGCAGCAGCAGCAGCAGCAGCAGCGAAGGAGGGGTGCTGCTGGTCTGCCCAGCTACAGTGCTGCCGCAGTGGCTCAGAGAACTCCACAAGTGGTGTCCCGCAGTTAGGGTTTGCGTTTTTCACGACAAAGTAAACCCTAAACCCTAAACCCTAAACCCTAGACGGGAAACCCTGAGTATTAGTGCCTTTGGGATTCTATGCTGTATAGCACTTCGTGCGCTACCTCAACAGTGTGCTTCTTGCTTTGAGGGTTTAGGGTTTAGGATTTAGGGTTTCGGGTGAAGGGTTTAGGGTTTAGGGTTTAGGGTTTAGGGTTTGGTGTTGTTTAGGATTTAAAGGGTTTGCGAGCTGCTGCTGTCGCCGCGAGCAAATCGAATGGAGTTTTGCTGACGACTTATGAAACATTCAGGAGACACCTGGTAGCGCTTCTGCTGCTGCTGCTGCTGCTGCTGTTGCTGCTGCTGCTGCTGCATTGGCTGCTGCTGCTGCTGCGTTTGTTTCTGCTGTACCGGCTGCTGCTGAATTTGTTGCTGCTGCTCCTGCTGCTTCCGCTGCTCCTGCTGCCTTATATGCTTCTGCTGCGGCCGCTTTATTTGCTGCTGCTCTTGCTGTTGCTGCTGCTGCATCTGTTGTCGCTGCTGCTGCTGTATGCGCTGCTGCTGCAACAGCTCCTGCTGCTGCTGTTCGTTCATGCTGCAGCAGCAGCAACAGTAGCAGCATAATTGAAATAATGAATTAACTAGTTTATTTACTTATTTATTCATTTATTTATTTATTTGTTCACTTATTTATTTTGCTTTTTGCTGCTAGAATCTGCTGCTGAGCTTCACCTGGAAAATGGCGGTTTTAGATGAAGGCCAAAAAATCAAAAACCCTCATGCGGCCATCACCCTCGCCGTCAAAAGGGTAACGAGGGCTTAGGGTTTAGGGTTTGGGGTTTAGGGTTTAGGGTTTAGGGTTTGGGGTTTAGGGTTTAAGGTTTAGGATTTGGGATCTGGGGTTTGGGGTTTGGGGTTTGGGGCTTAGGGTTTGGGGCTTAGGGTTTGGGGTTTGGGGTTCAGGGCGTAGTGTCCAGGGTTTGGGGATTAGGTTTTAGGGTTTTAGGGTTTAGGGTCTAGGGTTTATGTGTTTGCTCCTAACCTTCTGGCGTTCTCCCGCAAAGCCAAATTGGCTTACGGCATAAACCCTAAAACGGAGTATTCGAAACAATTTAATCGAACAAATATTATTTGTCTACTCATTTATTATTTATTTAATTATTTAATTATTTGTTTATCTACTGTGTGTCTGCTGCTGCTGCTGCTGCTGCTTCTCTGCTGCTGCCGCTGTCGCTGCGTCTTCTGCGTCTCTGCCTCTGCCTCTGCCGCCGCCGCCGCTGCTGCTGCTGCTGCTGCTGCTGCTGCTGCTGCAGCTGGGGACTCCGCACCGGTATTTGCTGTCAGCAACTCCGATTCAAAACAGTTTAATTGAACTTTGGTCTGTTGTCGATTTTGTGTCTCCGGGAAGACTGGCAACTTTGCCAGTTTTCCAGCAGCAAATTGCAGACCCCATTCGCGAGGTGCTGCACTTTGCTGCTGCTGCTGCTGCTGCTCTTCCCCCCTTTTGCCGCACCTCTTAGCCCCTTTTGCTGCTGCTCCTCTTCCCCTTCTGCTGCTGCTCTTATTCCCCTTTTGCTGCTGCTCTTAGTCCCCTTTTGCTACTGCTCTTCCCCCCCTTTTGCTGCACCTCTTCGCCCCTTTTGCTGCTGCTCTTGGTCCCCTTTTGCTGCTGCTCTTGGTCCCCTTTTGCTGCTGCTCTTGGTCCCCTTTTGCTGCTGCTCTTCGCCCCTTTTGCTAAGGCTCTTCTCCCCTTCTGCTGCTGCTCTTATTCCCCTTTTGCTGCTGCTCTTAGTCCCCTTTGTTGGTGCTTTTCCTCCCTTTTGCTGCTGCTCCTCTTCCCCTTTTGCTGCTGCTCTCGGTCCTGTTTGCTGCTCCTCCTCCTCCCTTTTGCTGCTTCTCTCTTCTCCTTTTGCTGCTGCTCTCTTCCCCTTTTGCTGCTGCTTTGGGTCCCTTTTGCTGCTCCTCTTCTTCCCTTTTGCTGCTGCTCTTCTTCCCTTTTGCTGCTGCTCCTCGTCCCTTTTGCTGCTGCTCTTCCTCCCCCTTTGCTGCTCTTTTCGTCTCTTTGCTGCAGCATTTGGTTTTCTTTTTTTGCCCTTTGAGGGTCCTCAGGCGTTGCTGCTGCTGCTGCTGCTGTTGTTGTTTCTACTCCTTTTGCTGCTGCTACTGCTACTGCTGCTGCTGCTGCTGCTACTGCTGCTGCTGCTGCAGCATTTGCTTGTTTGTTGGTTTGTTGGTTTTCTTCAGGGCTCCTTCGCGAGTGTATCTTCTGCTGCTGCTGCTGCTGCTGCTCGTTGCGCGCTGCTGCTGCAGCAGCTGGTGGCGCCGTTGCTGCTGCGGCGCCGCAAAGAAGAATGCATGCAGCACCTTAAGCTGCCCCCCAAGAAAGAAGAAGTAAACCCTAAACCCTGAACCCTAAACCCTAAACCCTAACTTACACTAGTCTTGAACCCTAGTAAGCTCTAGCAAACCCTTATAAACCCTAATATACCCAATGAACTCTGAAAACCCTAATAAATAAACCCTCGTAAACCCCCACAACCCTGGCAAACCCTAATAAGCTCTTCTAAACCGTAATAAACCCTAATGTACCCTCAAAACCCTCAGGCCTTGCGGCTTACACTTGCTGGTCAGGCAAACCCTAAACGCTAAACCCTAAACCCCAAACCCTAAACCCTTTTTGATGCCTTTTAGGTTTTATTCTGCGCTCTAACTCCCATACAATATGAGGTGTATAGAGATGTGCTGCACGCATTTTGGGGACAGCAGCAGCAGCAGCAGCAGCAGCAGCAGCAGCTGGGCAAGCGGCAGCTGCGCAGCAAAGCTTTTGCTGCTCTTGCAGTGCTGCGGAAGATCTGCAACCACCCAGATCTCGTGCTGCAGCAGCAGCAGCAACAGCAACAACAGCAGCAGCAGCAGCACAGGCAACGCCTTAAGCAGCTGCAGCAGCAGCAGGAAATGATGCATATGCTTCCCCCAAACGTAGAAGTTAAACGCAGGCGTCTCCAGCGGCAGCAGCAGCAGCAGCAGCAGCAGCAAACAGAATCCACAGAGGAAGCAACAACAACAGCAGCAGCAGCTGCAGTTCCAGGGGACTTCGGCTCCCCGAGCAGGTACGAGAAATGCTGCATGCTGCTGCTGCTGCTGCTGCTGCTGCCTCTGCTGCTGCTGCTCCTGCGGGAGCTGCTGCTGCTGTAGTACCAGGCGCTGCTCCTTCATTTCTGCTGCAGCTGCTGCTAAGTTCATGTGTTGTTTTTGTCGTCTGCTGTGGTTAGGGTTCGGGGTTTAGGGTTTAGGGTTTAGGGTTTAGGGTTTGCGGTCAGGTCTGGGAAGCTGCGGGTGCTGATGGCGATGCTGAGGGTTTGGCAGCAGCAGCAGCAAAAAGTAATTGTGTTTTGCCAGACGCAGCAAACCCTAAATTGCATTGCTGCTGCTTTGGAGGCCTCGGGTGTACAGACACCGCAGCAGCAGCAGCAGCAGCAGCAGCAGAAGAGGGAGAGAAGCAGGAAGGGAAGCAAGGAGCAGCACATGTCAAAAGAAGAAACAATTCGAGAAGTGGAAATTAAAAAGGAAATAAATAAAAAAGATTTAAATGAAAATTCAAAAAAACTTTTTTTAAAACTCGATGGATCCACTCCAGTTGAAAAAAGGCAAAAAGTCATCAACTGCTTCCAAAACCTCCCAGTGAGAAAAGTTTAGTAAATAAATAAATAGATAAATAAATAAATAAATAAATAAATAAGTGAATAAGTATTTATTTATTTGTTTGATTCGGTTGGAGGCAGTTAAATTGACAAACGGGCTGTTGCTAGCAGCCCCATCAGCAGCAGCAGCAGCAGCAGCAGAAGCAGCAGCAGGAGCAGCAGCAGCAGCAGCTGCTGCTGCTGCAACACCATTAGACATCAAATCGCAAGCAGCAGCAGCGCGCTGGGACACTGCCGTTGCCGAGTTGGCAAAGCTCAGGGCTTAGGGTTTAGGGTTTAGGGTTTAGGGTTTAGGGTTTGTGCAGAGTGTCTTCATTTTGCTGGCAACAACGCGGGTGGGAGGCGTGGGCCTCAGCTTGACAGCAGCAAATCGAATTGTCATTTTCGAACCCGACTGGAACCCCATGACCGATTCGCAGGTCCGTTTGCTGCTGCTGCTGCTGCTGCTGCTGCTTTTGCTAATGCTGCTGCTGCTGCTGCTGCTGCTGTTGCTGCGGTTCACTGCTGTGGCTTGCGGCTACTACTGCTGATGCTGCTGCACCCTTCTAGACGCTGCTGCTGCTGCTGCTGCACCCCTCTCGCGGCCTCTGCTGCTGCTGCTGCTGCTGCTGCTGCCCCCTCACAGCCTCTGCTGCTGCTCCTGCTGCAATTCTCTCACAGCCTCTGCTGCTGCCGCTGCTGCTGAAGCTCCCTCACAGCCTCTTCGATTGCCGCTGCAGCCCCCCACACAGCCTCTGCTGCTCCCGCTGCTGCTGCTGCTGCTGCTGCTGCTGCTGCTGCTGCTGCTTAGGCTCGCGAGCGCTCGTGGCGTCTGGGGCAGCAGCGGCCAGTTTTCGTTTATCGGCTTTTAGCTGCGAATACACTCGAAGTGAAAATTTACCAAAGACAACTTTTTAAGGGTTTTCTGTCTTCGCGGATTTTAGACAAGTGCAAACAACCCAACAAGTTCAAGTGGAAAGACATTCACGTCTGCAAACCCTAAATCCTAAACCCTAAACCCTAAACCCTAAGCCCGAGAATGACATTCACGTACCCACACCCGAAACCCTTAACCATCAGACGCTCATCCGCGTCCGTAAACCCTAAACCCTAAACCCTATGGATATGCACAAGTCTGGAAACCCTAAACCCTAAACCCTAAGGCCTCGAGTGGTATTCTACTTGAAGATGTCGAGGCCGGACTAAGCTCTCCGGCGAGGCGGTTTGGGTGCCTAGGGTTTAGGTGCTGCGGTGGATAGGCGCCGCTGTTGCAGCTGCAGCAACGGGACTGAAACAGCAACTGCTGCTGCTGCTGCTGTTGCTTGTGCTGCTGCTGCTGCTGCAGGTACAGGAACAAAATTCGCTGCAGCTACATGAACGCTGTTGCTGCTGCTGAGATTGACGAGCTCAAAGCTCTGGCAGGCAGCAGCAGCAGCAGCAGCAGCAGCAGCATGAGCAGCAGCAAAAGGGAGGACTGGCTCGGCACAGCAGAAGCAGCAACGGGAGATGCGCAGCTGCTGCAGTCGCTATTCGAAAATGAGGGGGTACAGGTGGGCTGCTGCAGTGCTGCTGCTGCTGTTGCTGCTGCTGCTGCTGCGGATGTTGCTGTTGCTGCTGTTGCTTCTGCTGCTGCTGGGCTTTTGTAGAGCTGCCGTGGTTTTTCTGGTGCTGCTTCTGCCATTGCACTTGGTGTGCTGCTGCTGCTGCTGCTGCTGCAATTGCATTTAATCTGCTGCTGCTGTTGCTGCTGCTGCAGCATTCGTTGGATCATGAACAAATGGAAATGCCACAACAGCCAAAGGGCCTTAAGGAGTCCAAAGAAATCGGTCTGTGCTGCTGCTGCTGCTGCTACTGCTTCTACTGCTGTTGTTGCTGCTGCGGTTGCTGCTGCTGCTGCTGCTGCTGCTTCTGCTGTCTCTGGTGATGGCAATTTGCTGCCGTTCTTGCTGCTGCTGCCGGCACCTTACTTTGCTGCTACAGCTTTTGTCTTCATTTGCTGCTGCTGCTTCTGTTGCTGTTGCTGCTGCTGCTGCTGCTGTTGCTGCTGCTGCTGGTGTGGCTGCAGCATGTCAAGCTATGGAAATGCTGAGGCAATCCAGACAAGAAAGGATGTCCCACACAATCGATGTAAGGGTTTAGGGTTTAGGGTTTAGGGTTTAGTGTATATTTGCACATTAACTATTCTATACGTTAATTTTCCTTTGCCTTTTCCTGGGCCACTGCAGTAGCACACCAGAACCCCCAAACCCTAAACCCTAAACCCTAAACCCTAAACCCTAAACTCTAAACCTTACAAACCCTATAAACCCTCCTTTTTCTCCCCTTTAGGTGCCAACTTGGACTGGAAAAAAGGGTACAGCTGGGAGGCCGCGGGGGCCCCC